TATATTTACATATATACATGCAATATATGTAGTATTTATAGAAATGTATGTTATATATAACTAGATTGCAATAAATAATGTAATATTAAATACATATATAAAACAACACAGAACACTGGGTTGGAGAGATGGTTTACTTTAGAGAAGCATAAAGTACTTCCTTCACAAATCTGAGGGCCTGGGTTCAAATCCCCAGAATACATGTAAAGTCAGATGCAGTGGCACGCACATCTGTAATCTTGGTAATCCTATAGAGCTAATAGAACATCTAAATGCTCATCAGCTACCCTGCCATGCACAGTGAAAACAACAACAACAAAGAGACCCCATCTGAAGCAAGGTGGAATGCAAGAACCAACATCCAAGGTTTTCCTCTGACCTTGCATGCCATGGCACACATGCAACCCACATTTACACACATGAATGTACAGAAAGAAAGAGGAGAAGGGAGAGAGATGAAAAGAAATTAAATATAGAGCTCTAATGTACCATTCCACTTAGTTGTATCTATGCTTTGAGGAGGAGGAGAAAACTGACAAGAGATCAGAGGTGAGAGGCGCAAAACCTTGTGTTTCCTGAGCCTAAGACATTCTATTCGTCTAACTTTAGCCTCAGGGGTTCTTCAGCAGCTCTAGATCTCTGTGGATGTTCATCCCATAAGCACTGTGGCCTATAGTGCAACATTGACTGTGTCTAAAGAATATCGCATTACTCTCTTACTGTGCAGCTATTTAGTTTAGTGCTCAACTAATAGAAGCAATTGTTTCTAAGACCAAAAAGGAGAGAAGAATCATTGGACCCACTGGGAAAATTCATGGCTTTCATAGTAGTGACTTCTTGATGGATTTTCTAGGATAACATTGATTTTTTACTTTATACCATTTTCTCCTTAGACATTAACATTAAACTCTTACTCTGGGTAAACCACACTGCCAGTGTGCCTCACCCCTCATTTCTTGAACCCCCTCTACCACATTTCCAAACAGTTTGCTGGGCTCCTGTAATGAGATAACCAACATAACAGGAAACAAATGCTTTCTAGAGGATGTGCACTCCTTCTGTGAACCACTTCACTAGGACTTTCTTTCTCATACTAATCTAACATACTCTCTGAGGTGGTTTGAATGAGATGCCCCTCATTGTCTCAGGCAATTGACCACTTGGTCTCTTGTAGGTGATGCTGTTTGGGGAGACTTAGGAGGTGTGGTCTTGTTAGAGGAAATGTGTCACTGGGGCAGGCTTTTAGATTTCAAAGCCTTAAGTCCTTCCCAGGGTACTTTCTCTATTTCACGCATGTGGTTCAAGATGTGAGACCTCACCTCAGCTTCCTGATCCTCCTGATCCTGTTGTCATGCCTGCCACTTGCTGCCATGTCTCCCTACCATGAAGGACTCTATCCTCTGGAACCGTAAGGCCAAATTAACTCCTTCTTCCATAAACAGCTTCAGTCATCATGTTTTATCACAGCAATAGAAAAGTAATGAATACACCATCCTGTCAAACCTCTGCAGATAGCTCCCAAACCAGGAACAACTGCCCCCAACCTGGCAGCATTGAAATCTAAAGCCCTACACTACTATTTCCAAATTCACTGACATTGCAAATTTTACATGAGAAAGATTGGGAGTTCCCCCACATATGGGATTACTCCATGACCTGGGAGCCTACAGTCCTTCATTCCCAGAAGCAAAGGTGAGTGGTGATAATGGAGGTCAATCAAATTCTGTTTGCTTTGGTTGATGCTATGCCTGAGCTACATAGTCATTTATTGTGCCTCTGAAAAACTCATCACTTTGATAAGCTCATAGTGTGTAATAGTATATTCTATTAAGATGTCTCAGGTATTTAAAATTTTGCCTCCAACTATTTATTTTACTGGTTTACAGGTTTAAACACAACGGAAATATAGCCATAGTACATTCTACTGGTGAACAAATGTATGTAGATAATGAGTTGCTCCTACACTTATTTCTGTTTTAATTCCATTAAGGAGGATAGTGGTCCTCTAAATCCTATGAAATGAAGCACTAGGAAAAGGATGAGGAGACTCTAGACCCAACTAACCTTCATAGGAACTAACCAGGAACTAATTGTATCTACCATCTCTAAGATGGCTAATCTTAGTTGTCAATGCTACATACCCGGGAAGAGCAAACCTCAGTTAGGGAATTTCCTCCATCAGACTGGCTTGTGGGCATTTCTTTGAAGCATTTTTTTGTTAATTGATATAGGAGGGCCCAGTGTACCTTGGGTATTACCATCACTAGGTAGGTGGGCCTAGAGTGTATAAAAAAAAAAAAAAAACTAGCTGAGCGGACCATTGGGAACAAACCAGGAAGTAGCTTTCTACCATGGTTTCTGCTTCAGTTCCTGCTTGAACTCCTGGCCTGATGTCCGTCAGTGATGGATTATGAGCATGGAGGTGTAAGCCAAATAAATTCTTCTTCCTTGAGTTGCTTTTGGTCGTGTTCTTTATCACATTAACAGAAAGCAAAGCAGAACAATCTGTCATCCCCCAAATTCTCCTCTACTTATGTAGTTTCCAGAACCCTGTTAATTGGGGGAATTGCTTCTTTTTTTTTTCTAATCCAAGTATTTGTACAGTAGAAATGTAAACATTTTGTTCAACAAAGAGCTTGAAAACTGATATTCCTGAGGCCAGTCTGCAGGCCATAAAGATGAATAAAGATTGGGTACACGCTATGTGCAGAAGTTTCTCAAAATAGTACAAAAGGATAGAGCTGGAGAGATGGCTCAGTTTAAGAGCACTTACTGCTCCTGAAGAAGACCTGGGCTCAGTTCCCGGCACCCACATGGTGGCTCACTACCATCTGTAACTCCAGTTGCAGTGGACCCAAGGCCTGTCTGACCTCAGAGGGCTCCTGCATGCAGACACTTATACACACACACTCCAGCACAAAAACATGCACACATAATAAAAATAATCACAAAACATTCAAAATAGAACCATGTGGTCCAGCTGTACCACTCCCTGGCATATACCCAAATGGTTTTTATATCCTTCTACAGAGACATTTGCACATCCATCTTCATTGCCGCTCTATTAATATAACTTAGCAACAGAGGTGGGGGGGGAGGGGGGGAGGTTGGGCACAGGTTAGGGAGTGAGAATAGTAGATTACAGGTAAAACAAAAGTATTGGGATGGAATAGTTAGAATTGGAAGGCTTGAATAGGGAGGGGCTTAGAAGTATGGAAGAAGTCAGAGGGTAATGGGAAGAGCTCACCCAAACAATTGGTGTATGAAAAGCCATATGGAAGCCTACTATCTCACAACCCAATTAAAATATATTAGAGGGGTAGTAGAATACATGCGATATGAAAGAAGGTTGGCAAATACTAAGAGCTAAAGGATAGAGTGAGGACAGCCACAAGGAGATGGGGTAAAGAAGGGGGTAGAGGCTAGGTTAACCACACTTAGCAAAATGTGAAAAAGTCTTAAAACCCAATAGTTCATAAAGCTAATTGAAAATATAACTTAAAAAATAGCTAAAAATGGGCCAGGCGGTTGTAATACATGCCTTTAATCCGAGCACTTGGTAGGCAGAGGCAGGCAGATCTCTGTAATTTCAAGGCCAGCCTGGTCTACAAAGCTAGTTCTTAAGATAGCCAAGGCTACAAAAGAAACCCTGTCTCACAAAAAAAAAAAAAAAAATTAAAATGGAATGACTCTGTATGAGTATGAGTGAACAATGCAACTCCCAGAGGACATGGATTATTAAATGAAAATCTCAAGGCAAGGCATGGTATACCTCCCTATGATTTAAAAGTCAGGAAGGCCCCAGAGATCTCCAAAAACAACATAGGTTAGTGCCATTGCTCTCGGTTACCCAACATAATTCATGGTTAAGGTATGAAGATGTAGCTCATGACCAAACTTCAATGTTGCTACTCTCCACAAACCGATACCTCAAATGACCCAAATCATCAGAAACCCACAAGAGAGGGCAATTCCTATTTCTACAGAATTTCTCATAACACCCATTCATTCATTCATTCATTCATTCACTGACTTCAAATTTAACCAATCACTACTCTAACGTGAATGAGAACAGATACCCAGGACAGAGCACTCAAGATGCACCAATCACTTTCCTTACATTATCTCATCTTATTTTTGTCACAGATCTGCAAGGTAGAAACTATAACCTTCACTTAACAGGTGAATAAATAAATGAGGTTCATCATCATTACCTATGTGTTCAATGACCACACAATTTTGTCATAAATTAAATTGAAATCTGCCTTACCCACCCACTCTCAAATCTGGGTTTTTCTAGACCTCTACACTGTCTCCTAATTTTAAAAAAATATAAATTTAGTGCTGGGAAGATGGTTGAGTTAGTAACGTGCTTGCCATGTATGTGTGAGAAACTGAGTTCTGATGCTCAAAGTCCATGTAAAAGCCTAGTACAGAGACACATTGACCATAATCTTAGAACTAGGAAGGTGGAGACAGGGGGATCCCTGGAGCCTGTAAACCAGCCAGTCCAGGCAAAGTGATGAGCTCCAGGTTCAGTAAATGATCCTGTCTCAAAAACTGATATGGGCAAATGATTGAGGAAGACACATTATGACAGGCTTACACATACACATACACACACACACACACACACACACACACACACACACACACATACACAGACAAGAGAGACAGAGAGAGAACATGCATACATATACAAATACATACACACACACACACACACATATACATACACACACACACACATATGATTGATTTCATACTATGTACTTTCTACTATAGAAAACAGACTACACCACATTTCAAGATTGACATTTTTCAGGGATGTCACTCACTAGTAGAGTATGTGATAAGCATGTACAAAACCTGGGGTTTGATCCTAAGCACTAAATAAAATTCAAATCAAATAGGAGCTTTTCTAGGAACTGTATCACAGGGAGGAAAAATCAAGGATGCTCACCAGCCAATACTCACCAACCACCCCATCTCAATTCCAGATGCATCAAAATTACAGCTTTCTTCAACTTTCTAAGAGTACAACTTAAGTAAGACCCTCTCTGAAAACTGCCCGGCAGTCAGGAAGGAAGGACACTGGGTGTGAACTCAAGAAGAGGAGCAATTTTTTGGAGCTCTACCAAGAAGATGAAATGAACCTTTTAATTTTACACTGGGTTATTTCAAAAGGCCTATTTTAAAGGATGCTTATAAAGAGAAATCCAAGGGAGTCTGCTTAAGGGATCCCTAATAAGCTTAGGGAGTTTATTAGGACATTAAACTGGAGAAAACAACTCACTAAACAGAATGGGCAAAATCATCACAGAGTCCTGGAAGGTTGATGTCCTGTCCCACCCTGCTCCTGCTGCCTGAGTCAGTCTATACCAGCCAAGCCCACAAGGGAGCAAAGACACCAGGCCTATGTGCCCCTCAGCTTAAGGTAGCCCTGAGGCCACACACTAGGGGCTAGCGCTTCAAGGCCACAAGTGGAACAAGTACCCACTACAGATCCTGAGTGACATTCACCTGGAGGAGTGGAGTATCTGTTCAGGAAAACATTAAGAACCTACTATGGTGATATTTTATTTGTACTGAAATGTGATTTTATTTGTATGTTAATAAATAAAGTTGCTTGGGGGTCAGAGCTAATAGCAGAAGCTGGGCGGTGGTGGCACACACCTTTAATCCCGATCACATGACAGGCAGATCTCTGTGTGTTCAAGGATACAGCCAGCATGGAGACACACGCCTTTAATCTCAATACCAACCATAGAAGACCTGGAGCTCTGTATAGATAGGCAGTGATGGTGGAGGTCATGTGGTTGGATTTACAACCAATGAGAAGGCAGAACAGAAAGTCAATAAAAGGACAGACACACAGGAAGTAGGTCTCTTTCTGAGGGGAAGGACGACAGCGGCAGCGAAGGGTAAGAAAGGTTTTTTAGTATCAGCTCTTAGCTACTGCTCTAACCTCTTGGGCTTTTAACTCTGCATTTGGCTCTGTGTTTCTTATTTAATAAGACTGTTATATCTACAACCTACCATGATATTGAGACCTGGGCTGGAACTACAGCTTCTGGCATAAGATACTTTTTTGTTATAAAGACGTTGACTTCCTCACTTTGGAAAGTAACCCCATCCCTAGTAAAACAAATACTGTACAAAAGCTCATGGGCAGAGGATTCCTGTGGAATAACAACATGGAACAAGAATAGGACTTGTATACTGTTCTTAGGGCTGTCCAGTTTCAGAATCCCTTCCTATGTTAGAGAAAGTTTCACTTAATAAATCCTAATGTAGGTCGGGGGAGAAAACGCCCCTTCCATAATGGCTGAACGTAGCACACACTTGCTCTCTCTAAAGAATCTCTTGCCACAGGCAGCTGTTACTCCCATACTAGAAACAGATTCAGGCACTTCTAAAGCAAAAGAAGAGGTGATGGGTCACCCCTTTCTTGCTTGCAGTATGCTGCTGAAAAGCCATATCCAAGAAACATCAGCAGTACAAACTGGCTTCCAAGACTCAGTGGTACCCACCAGCAGATACTTTCCCTTCTGATGTTCTATGGTGTTTGTGACCTGACTCTCACCTTCTCGACTTTACAACTAATCTGTGTCCACTAACAATTCAATAAATGATTTTATATTTAATCAGCCAGAGTCTGTCTTTGATATTTGCAAGTAGGAACTGATTCAGTGAACATGCTTGTTATCATTAAAATACTTTAAGGTGTTCATTTCTTTCAAACTAGACTTAGAGGGAAACCTTAAGCATATTTTTTCCTGCTTGTCTGAGTGCTTATGACATCTCTGGGGTATAGAAACCAATCTCTTCCTTTTCATTCTACTGGCCATGAACTAATGAATAATCCCCTTGCTCTTCGGTGAGCTCAGTCTATTTAATCACATGATGCTTTGTCTTGTCACAAGGATATCTCAGAACAAAAGAAAGTTGTTCAGCATCACAAATGTCTCCAACCCGCTTCTCTACCTTAACATTGGACCAATTCCTTGAGTGTGAACCTTCATTTTCTTTAAGCTAGTAGCCACTTCAAAGAAGGGCTTTAGTCTCCTTCCTCCTTCACTGTGGTATTAACATTTGACATCATTCACAAGTAACTATTGATTGTGAGTGTGTAGTGGTATATAATCCTCAGCAGGGTCATCACTTCCCTTTGCCCATTTCATTCAGGAAAAAAAAATGTGATTCCATTCTTATTTTTAGTTATTTATTTCATTATTTTATTGTGTGTGGTGGTGTTTTGCCTGTTTGGCTGTCTGTACCACACATACAGTGCCCACAGAGACCAGAAGATACCTGGGGCTGGTGTAAGCTGTCATGCCATGCTGGGAATCAAACTAGGATCCTCTGGAAGAGTAGCCAATGCTCTTAACCTCTGAGCCATCTCTTGTACCCATGATTCTCTTCCTAATAGCTCCTCCCCTCTTTGTTTTATGGTATCATAAATTTCCTCGTCACTTTTTCAGAATTGCTGAAATCACTGAACGTTGGCTTTCAGACATCCTCCCAACCTGGGTCCAACAAGTTTCTCTTCCCAGTGCCCTACCCTTGAATTATCAGGATAATTTACATCCTATTTAACTCTTCCTCCATCTGCTTATGTCTATATGCTTTGTTATCTGATCCTTCAGCAAAAGCCAGTCAGGATTTCAAGTCTCTCCTATTCAAATGAGAAAAGCAGCTTACTGACCGTCTTTGTTACAAGTGACCTAGACTCCAGACTGAAAGCTTCCACCCTGTCACAAGCTTTACCAGCTCTCCTTGTAAGCACCAAGCCCCTAAGAAGCCATGCATCTCCCACTGCGTTCTCAGGGCTTGCAGCCCTACCCAGTACCCAAAGCAGGGAAGTTCAAGAGATTACTTTAAAGCATTGATTTCATTTACTGTGGATCAGGAGTTCACAGTCATCCTCAGCTGCGTTATAAGTCTGAGGTCACTCTGGGGTAGATGAAAGCCTGTTGCAACAAAAAATTTCAATTAAAAATGGGGACTGGAGTGATGGTTCAGTGGTTAAGAGCATTTGTTCTTCTTGTAGAGGACCTAGGTTCAGTCAATGCCCTGTACCTACATGGTGGCTCACAACTATGCCTGACTGTGGTCCAGGGATTTCAGTGTCCTCTTTGAACTCAGCAGACACCATGGTGCACATTCATGCAAGCAAAACACCTGCACACATGAAATAAAATAAATTTTAAAAATTAAATAAAAACATTGATTTAAGGAAATACCTACTTTCTTATTAACCCAGAAAAATTTAGTCCAATTGCATTCAACTCAAGAAGCATTTCCCTTGTACCTGCTATTGAACAAGCATCTTTACAACTACCAATGAGGGAGAAAAGTAGTCTTCTGCTTTATTGCAGTCTAAATGTTTACACACAGCCAGAAAGACACCTGGAGGAATGGGCAAATTCCAATGGATTCAGGAAAACTGGACAATGTGGACTGCTTTACAGAGTCACAATCCTTCCCTTCTGTTATTTAGCTAGGATCTGCTATATCCTAAAATTGTTATTTAGTCCATGTGCCCTAGAGGAACAGGGAAGCACATCTGGGATGTACAGTTGTGTGACAGAAAGTCCCTGTGAATTGGACTGAACAGCAGTCTAGGAAAAGTCACTGTCTAGTGTGTCTAGTGTACACTAAGAAAATTGAGTGACAGCCCTCCTCCCAATAGACTGCCAAGATCCCCATGTCACGCACTTAGTCACAGGACAGAGAAGGAACAAAAGCACTCTAACAGCCAAGTCTCTCCCCTTATTATCACACCAAAGAGCAGACTCCTTTTTTCTTTCTGCATTTTCTAATCTTCCTTTTCAAGCACATTTTCATGGGAAGAAAGTGTCCATATACATTTTTATAGCGATTTAAAGCAATCCACTTAGTGATGCTTCTTCAAACACCTCCTACAGACTTTTCTTCACTTCCTTTGGTGGTGTCTTGGGTTTTTTATAAAGAAATCCCAGCGCACTTCCTTTGGACTCATTTTCTCAAACATTTCCAAGCAGGGACAATCTCTGTGCTACTTTGCATGGGAAGAAACTGAAATTTTAGGAAGGTGACTGTACTGCTAAGGTCTAGTCTGAAGCAGAATCCAAACAAGGACTAAGAATTCCATACCTCCAGTCTAGGTTCTTCCAGCCTCAATGCTTTTTCAAGCCATGTGGTTAAAATGAATCCTGCTTCTTAATTTCCAGAATTAAAAAAAAGAGGATTCATCCTTGATTTTTCTATGGATTATTCTATAAAGGAGTGACAATGGTTATACATTTCTATTTCTGAAGCAGCTTTTCCATAGAACACAATCACTCCTGTACAAGTTAAATATCCTTTACCCAAAATGCTTTGGATCAGATTTTGGAATATTTTCATATACATCATGAGATAGATTAGAGATGGAAGCCACATCTAAACATAAAATTTCTATATGAATCATATATACCTAAAGCACATAGCCTAAAAGTAATTTTACATAATATTTTAATGTGCCTGTATTTTGGCATCATATGAAGTCAGGCATGGAAATTTCCATTTGTTCCACCACATTAGTACATAAAAGAGTTCAGATTTTGGAGCATTTTAGATTTCATTTGTTCTGAGTAAGGATGCTAACCTATGCCTGGCTCCACATGTGAGAGGCCAAAAGAGGAAAAAAGAAAACCAGCAAAAATGTCAGCTGCGTGATGATGGCTTGGGTGTCAAGAATGGCACAAAGCAGATAACATACTCTGTTCACTTCTTCTGCAAGGAGCACAGACAGAAGGCCACAGAGGCAGGCCTTGGGATCTGACCTGCATGCTTCTGAGAATAGAAAAGCTGTAAGTCTTTTTGGTGAATATTATTCAGATCTGGGGGAGAGGCAGAGAGGACACCTGTTTGCCACTTTCTCTCAGGACACTCAGCATGAAGTAAATATTCAACAATGGAGAACAGTGCTCTCTATGTTCTCGGTTCTGCCTCATCTCCCACATCTGTACTTATTGAATTTATAGAAGTTTAAAATGCAGCAATCATTATCCAGTAGACAGAGCCCCTACTTTCAACCAGTTTACAATGTAGCAAATTCTACACCTTCATTCTGAACTATACAACTATAAATAATAAATAAGGATGTCTTCCTTCCCAAATATGATCGTAATCATCATATAGACCAGTTGTTCTCAACTTGTGGGTCGTGACCCCATTGGGGGTCATATCAGATACCTTGTATATCAGATATTTACATTACAGTTCATTGCAGTAGCAAAATGACAGTTATGAAGTAGCAAAGAAATAACTTTATAGTTGGGGTCCCCACCACATGAGGAACTGTATTAAAGGGTCGCAGCACTAGGAAGGCTGAGAGCCACTGATAAAGACTAAATATAGAAGACAAGATTTTGGAATTGGTCAACAAAATCTCTGAGACAAACAATGCAATACATAACCCCCAAGTCAATCTAATCATGTCTCTCCCCTGCTTAAAAGTGACCACTGGCACTGATTTGCCCATAAATTAATATGAATTTTTTTTTTTTTTTTTGGTGTTTTCGAGACAAGGTTTCTCTGTGTAGCTTTGCGCCTTTCCTGGAACTCACTCTGTAGCCCAGGCTGGCCTTGAACTCACAGAGATCTGCTTG